TTATATCTGTGCAATTATTAGTACTATGTTTCTCTTTCAACAAACTACTGATTTAGCAATAATGGTTTGTTATTGTTAGCATAACATTGATTTGCCATATCATTACATTAAAAAACTTTTCAAAATATATTAATAAGCAAAGATAACAATACTTTGATCCTGCAGTCATTTTTAAACTATCACATCAGTGCCCCATTTTGTTTTAATGTGACATCTGGTTTAAATTCCTTTCATCTTAGGTTGCCACTGTTATTCTACCCATATTAATCACATTAAATTCATAACTTTGCTACTTAGTAATTTTACACAAAGCAAATAGAATTAAATTCAACTCTGAGCTGACATCCACCACTAAAATCACAAATCTCTTATACCCCACGAAGGTCTCAAATAGTGATTGAAGATTTGCACCGAACCTCTGCTTTGTGGTAAACTTCTCTTCTAGTGGAAACTTCTCTCATCTATTGCATAACACAAGTCACATGGCTTGTCCTAGGAGGCTTAAACTACAGGTCTACAAAAGATGCAACTTCATGCTACTCAATGCTTTTAATAGTTTAGATCTTAATGAAGCTTAATTAGCATCTGTAAGTCAATACAAATATTTATCTGTACATAAAACATTATCCCCAATATACTAAGTGACAGCACTTTTATAAGGCAGACACAAGCCAGGATTCAAATATCTGAGAAAAGGTGGAAACTACCAGACCCAAGTTTAGGACAAGGTCACAGAGCAGCAACAATGGTCAGCAGGATTTCACAGAATCTCTGTGACAATTTACAGGAACTGACAGAAAAGATGTGGTACAGCAGACTAGCAAGTAAGACAGAGATACCAGCAAGGACCGCAGAGGGCACATATTTTGGTTTTCATGCTGGCCAATAAGAAAGCATTCTTTTGCCTTTCTGACAATTATGTCAGTCTTCTTTACAGCAGCTGAACAACTGTGAACACAGTGATAGATGCTTGCTTCACTGCTTGCAGACTACCTTGCAAATACAAGACAGAAACTGACAGGCAGGAAATGTGCAAACCACAGAACAAAAACATCGACCTTTTAAATGAAGGACAGAATAGAACTTTCATGCTCAAAAAAATGAAGGCTCATGCTTTACTGCCAGTGCTTAAACTTTATGCCCCAAGAAATATTTTGTTTTGTTCCCTTTCATTAATAATTCTGAACTGAAAGCAGGGCTAGAGTTAGACCTTACTAAAAAGGTGCAACTTGTCTTGAATTGTTATGTCTAAGGATTTCTTTACAAAGTAATGAATCCACAGGTGTAATTCTAGGGCACACAAGATTCTTGTGAAAAAAAGAGTATTTCAGAGAGTATATAATCATAAGATTTCCATTAGGACTTCCCAAAAGGCAGGTGAGTCAGCAGGTGTGGAAAGTTCATGTGTGTATTCATTAGGGTAAGAGAAAACATTTGTCATATTCTTGACTCATCTGTTTAAAGCAGACAAACAGAAATCACTCGATAATTAATTTGCACACTCCTGCAAAAGCATGATCTGAGAAACTGAAGCCATGTCCCAGTAAGGAGCAGGACTTACTGAAGTATCTTTTGTGCCAATAAATAGGATGGCAGGAAACAACCAGCGCTGAAGTTTTTTCCTTTTTGTGTTTTTACTGGTGTGTTCTGTGACACAGACAATAAATACTATTATAAGACTTACTTTCTTATCTAATAGAAACATCTGGAGCAAGATTTTAACAAATATTCCTAACAAATGAGTATGACTCCCAGTTTTCACCTCCTAGTAGGAAATAATATCTGATTCACATTCCCAGAATTAATAGCCTTTACAATTGGAGACAGGATGTAGCTTTAAGACTCATAACTGTAAAAAAAAAAGTGTTCTGGAAGAAAAAGACTTAGAAAGCAACAATAAATTAATGCTTCAAGGATTTTAGAATATATGAAAGTCATTTATGGGATTAGCTGCTTCTAGAAAATTATGCATAAAATAAATATACTAAACTGAATTATTAAAATGAAATTAATTTCATTCATCCTCTGGGAAGTCTAACGAGACTAATTATTATCTTTTAGCATATCATACTTTTCTCTGACTAAATAAAAAAGTCATTTAATGAAGATGAAAAGAGTTTTCAGACAGCAAGGAACACAGATTCCTAAAAGCATGAATACTTTGAGCCCTTAAGAAAGGCTCTTAAGAATCATCTAGTCCCAGCCCTTTGGCCTTGTGCGGGGACACCTTTCACTAGGACAGGCTGCCCAAAGCCTAATGGCCTGTCAAATTCAAGAAAGTCCTGCATAATTTCTAGAATTATTTTTAAACAATAAAGTTGCTGCTGCTCTGTGACACAAGCAAACTAACACTTACTGTAACAACTAACTATTGTGTTCAGCTACGCATAAACATTAATATGCTGAAGACAAAAAAGAAAAAATCCCCATCCTCATTGACCTATTCATGAGGCACACTGTTGGCAAAACGGTATCCTTTTAAACAGAAATGGCTCACACACATAGAAACCAATGCTAGATGGCATACTTCTCCTAATGAAAACTGTTTCTGAAAACAACAAAAATAACCAGGCCTCAAAATTCTGCTGTTTCCATGGCAAATAGGACCGGCCCTTTTGGTCTTCTTGAACTTCTGAACAACAGGGGAAACTTATAAACCAAACACAATTGATCAAATCACTTATTGTACAGCATGGTTGTGACTGTCTGGGTGATGAAAATCCATGTGAACCCTCTTCTTCAAATGCCTGGCAATGATGCTTCTTATTTCAGGGTCATGTCGATGCTATTTATTAAAGACAAAATGACAAAGAACAACAACAACAACAAATTAATGAGTGCTCTGAAAACACTAAAATAACATGGCTAATTATTTCCCCAATCCTGAGCTCTCACAAAGTGTTTGAGTATCCTTATCTCTCATTTACTTCAATGCAGTAGTCTGAAATAACTTACACACATCCTATCTACATCTATGGAAGTGCACACCTTAGTAAGTGCTGCTACTGTTTTACTGAAATCAACAACTACTTTTTCAGCAATTCCAATCTGAAGTAAATCAGTTCAGGGAAGATCCACTGGTGGAATGACATAACAGTGTGGCAGGAATGGGTACCCCTAAAAATGTTCCTAAGTGTACAGTTTTGCTATTTAGTGCAAAGCATATGCCATGAAACACTTCAGAGGTATTCTTTAGAGGAAGAAGTTGTCCTCATAAATGTTGCCTCAAGATACGATCTTCCTTAAAGAATACATAATTTTAAATTTCCTCATAATTATATTTCATATTATTCATTCAGAATATTCATAATAATTCATAATATTTATGAACTGCTACAAATTATTCTTCTACTAGGAATTACTTCACAGTATTTCCTTTAAAGTCATGAAGAAATGCAAGGAATTTACCAAAATAGAACACAGGGAGCATGACAATAGACGGTAACCTTTGAAACAGAATGAAAAACAACAGAAGCAAACTAAGTGCTGGGCAGACTCCAGAGATGTTCCAACAGAAAGCATACAGAAAAAGAGTCTCTGTAAAACTGCTGTTCTCAGAGTGAGGGGATTTACGAAGGATGCTATTTCCTGAACAAATGACAAAAAATAAGGGATATGATCACAGGAAAATTATTGCCAGTTCTGAAGAGAGATTCATATTTATGCAGAGAAAATAAATGCCACGAATTAACATTAATCTGGCCTTAAATATATATTTATTTAACATAAATGTAATTTCTCTTCTCATTTTGCTGCCCAGCTTATCTTTCAAGAAAAACAGGAAAGTTGTTCAAGCCACAAAAGGTCAAAATCATGCACAGCCTTTAACACATCATTTTTGGTTCTCATACTTCGAAAAACGGTTCTCATATTGACTTACTATGGAAAAAAAACACTGTCTAAGAAAAAAAAAAGATTAACTATAATGTCAACTGGATCAGGAATTTATCTTATGGTTCCAAACTGTGTATGAGGTATGACAGTGCGACAGCTTACTAGAGCGCTGTGAAAACCAAAGCTTCAATTTATTTATGCAACTTTTCGCTACACATACTTCTAATTATCTGCCTGTTTATTAACACTCATGTTCTTGATGGAATCTTTTTGCTGAGGATTTAGGTTTACTATATAATATTTCCCCTACAGTGTGAGACACCAGTGTATTTCTACACACCGGTCAGAAGGGCAGGGGCAGCAAAGGCCTTGATCCGTCTGCCCTGGGCACACAGCCCAGCACACACACCCCACTGCAACGCCTGGCTCTCCTGACATGCTGTTCTAGCAACAAACTCGGCACTCCTGTGACACACTGCACCTACAAGTACTCTCACTCAGGAACAGGAAGAGCAGCAGCGCAGGGTTTTCGACCTGCATGCTTCAGTTACGGTATCAGGCAGAGCAACAGCAAACCAGAGGACTGACACATCCCCATTTCCAAGTGAACAAGTCCATCTTTGAAAGGAAAAGGCACAAAGATGTTTGAGACTTAATCAGGAAAATAATTATGAAAGAAGCTGAGAAGCAGAAAAGCAAAGAGAAGGCACATGTTAAGAGCATGGCCCAGAAAACAAAGTAAAATATAAGACTTTTTAATCTTTGAATGAGGATGTCAAGTTTGAAATTGAACATAATGCATGGAACCATCTTCACTGTGATCATGCTGCACTTTTTCTATCTGTTTTTAATATAATTTAACCTGAATATTCTCAGGCTAACAATTATATCTCTCTCTGCTTGGAAATGGTTAAGGACACTTCAAACACATTCCCAATGCAACACAAATATAATATATCTTCAGTATATAACACATATATAAAGTATATAAAATATAACTATAATGAAGTGTCAATGCTTTGTCTGCTTGTACAAGTTGTTCCTGAATATTGCCATAAATGTATTTAGTTCTCAAAAAAGTTTTAAGGAGTCTGCCCAGCCTCAGTTCCTAGCAACATGGTTGTAAAATAATCTTAAAATGTAATGACAGTATTAGGCATAAATTCTTACTCCTGCTCCACTGAAGCCATTTCTGGATCATTTGAGAGGCAGCTAGTTCTGGATACAAGGAAAAAGATAAGTAAACATTTTTTCTGTGTTAATTTCTTTCTCTTTTAAAGTATGACATCAAGTTTGGGGATGTAATAACTAACTGTAGTGAGTATCTTTGACAGTACGAACACACAAATGTTGTTCTTAGGAATGTAGGGATCTTCGTTGCCACAACACACATTAGTCTGAGTAACAAATTTTAAAGCTATTTCTTTAAGTTGGGGAAGGGAAATGCACTACAGTGATCTCATACATCCAACAGTAACAATAATCAGTGGTGCCTCATATGAATATTTTGTTCCCCTTTCACTTGCTACACTGCAGCCTCCGCTATTTTAAATGGAGTAACAAGAAAGCAGCTTTCTTCCACTCATTGTCACATATACAATGCATTTGAAAATGCTGAACAAAAGGGATAGAAGTTGTATTTCAAGGCTGGGTAAGCCTTTTTGTTTAACAAAATAGTCAGGTGGCATCAGGTAACTACATATGTGAATTTATTGCTTCTGAGGCAGTGTTAACTGCTAGAATCAAAAAGCAGTGGCCAGCATTTTAGACATTTCTCTGTGGTTGTTTTAGAAACTAACCTCAGAAGAACTGAAGGAAAATGTGTACTGCAAAAGAAGGAACTTTTAGAAAAAATACAGCAAAGAAGAAGCTGTAAGTTGAAAACTGTGAAGTGCATAAGCAAAAGAAAGGTGATTGGAAAGAAACTACAAAACTCAAAATCTTTAGTTACAAAAACTGCATGAGAGAATCTTGTACTAGAACCAGCACAGGAATTTTGTGTACAATACTCACATAAGGAAAGTGCACAGTAAACTTTCTAAAGCTCTGCTCAGTGAATCAAGTATTGTGCACTTCTTAAGGATTTCTTTGGTACTCTACACTATACTACCACATTATATTCAAGTCAAAGCAAGAGTTATCACTTTAAAGTATCTGATCATCACCTACCACTGGTTTATTAAATAACCATAGACAATATAATATTATTATCAAGTATTAATTTCTCAGCATATTCAGCTAGCATTGGAAAGACAGAAGAATTTATACACCTACCTTAACTGAGATAGCTAACCATAATTTAGTGAACTGTAAAAAAATCTTAGAAATAACTACCTCTTAAAAGCTGTATAAATCAACTGACATAAAAGGGAAAGAAAATGTTTAATGACCCATTTTAATGGAGTATGTGATTTCAGACATTCCCATGACTACAGAAACAATCATCAAAAAACAGCAAATTTTTTTTTATAATGTAAGGGTATAACTATTTATTACTGAGACACAGCAGTACAAAAGCAGTGAGAGGGGAAGTCAATTCACAAATGGGGCAACTTACACAGTAATTGAAACTACAAGCTGACTGCTGTACCAAACACAATGTACTACTGCATTCCAGCTATTCCTGTGAAACAATATAATGCCAGCATCCAGCTGAAAGCTATCTTACTTAGCTGCTTCTGAAGCTTCCCTCAGTTCTTCATCCAGTCTGCATGAGTAAAAGTTATTGATATAAAGAAACAGAGAAGCAAGCAGAGCATAAGAGTGAAGCAGAGCAATAGCAGAGCAAAGAACAAGTACAGTACATGCTTTTAACATAGGCACCCAGTATGATTTAGGGCTGACTTTAAAAGCTCTTCAGTTAAGTAAGATACCATTTATTCTTGTGCTGAACCCACCTTAAATTTGTAAATTCCTTATTTAGCTCACTTAGAGGCACAGACTGAGAAGCAGCAGGGGTCTGAGGCATGCCCAGTGGACAGAGCTGAAAGCATTCATTTGCTCTATCAGATAATGTTAAACTAGCTGCAGCCTGCGCCAAGTCAAGGACATTTACAGTTCAGTGAGTTTTATTTGCAAGGGAAGCTGATCTCAACAGCTTGAAGGGGAAAGTAAGATGCCACATCATTGCAAGTCCTCTCTCATTCAGCTGTTGAGGTCGCCTGCAGGTGAAAGGCTGTCACACAGATTCACTCCATTATGAGCAACAGCATGGGCTAGAAAGCAAGTTTTACCTCATTCTTCTTTTAATATACTTCTCTTCATCATACCTTACAAGATGAGAGTGGATGAAAGAAGAGAAAAGATGTACAAGTTCATATGGTACAACAATCATATTGTATTGTGCTTCTCTGAAAACTACTTAAATAAACACATAACCCAAATTCTGGCATAACATTATGTATTTTCTAAAGGTGGGATTTTTCTTGACCATAGGTGGTATGCTTACTCTTGGAAATGAAGTAATTATGAAGGCAAAAAAATGAGTTGTATTTTTCTATACGAATCTCTCTGAATTTGCAGCAGAAGGGAAGCTATGAACTGAACACTGCACTTCTCCCTATGGTATGGGAATAGCCACTCACAGATGCTTTGAATGCACACAGCCACTAAATCTTCTTATTACAACATCTTGAAATGCTTGCCACCAACGGGTGCAATTGTCATCTTTCCAGTTCTGTCTTTTTCAGCAAAATCATGATCTCTCATCTGGCTGCTGATGATGTGAAGTAGGCATTACCCTAAAACTCTGTAAGTACTAAACTTTCTTTGGTACTAGCGCTGTGATTGTTTCATCTTTGGTCTGAGAGGTGAATGGACTTTTCAAACAGTCTTCAGTTTATAGGGAAGAAAAAAATGTGTGTAACACAGATGTGCCACTGTGTAACACTATGACATACCAAAGAAACAGACAGAAACTCTGTGAGTATCATGGTAAGGTTTCTATCAAAGACAACTATAAGAAACTAAAATGTTTACAGGAATCAGAGGAACATTTGTTAGGGATGTTAGAACATTCTCAGCATATTCCACCTCTAAAGAAGTTACAGCAGCAAATGAAGCTGAGTGAAAGTCTCTATGACCCCTGATTTCACAATTGCAATTTACTGCTATATCCAGACCTGAGCTTCCCACTTCCTCCCTGGAACTGCACCACCAGCTTGACAAAGGAAATTGCTTTATGACTACTGTAAAACAGGTGTGAAAACTCCTGCCTGGGCTGAGAAGATCTATGACAACTTCAAAAGCTGTCACTGGTCAGTCATAATGAAAATACAATTATACTTGCGTATCTACTCTTCAAACTACCTTCTAGAACAGGCTGTTCAAAACCTGGAACATTTGCTAAAGAGAACAATTAAAAAAAATTAAATTTCTGAACAGAACTTAATAACAACTACACAAAAACCATTATCTTTTCCAGTCATGCTTTCAGTCTTGGTATACCATTTCTTTTCGTTGTTTTCAGGTCTGAAAAAAAGTCATTTGAGGAAAACAATGCCAATCAACTTCCCACCATTTTTTAACAGGTATTCTCCTTTGGAAATGCCTGCATTTGGAAAACATCTTCACATAAGCAGCAAGAACTGCGAAACTGTTTTTCAGGGATTGTGGATTTAACCACTAAAATTGACAAGGCAAGGAACAGTTAACCTATGGAGTTTTACTGGTCTTCTATTGAATAGGCTGTCTTTTAATTAATGCCTCTGTTAAGAGCCTTGCACAACTAAAATTTGAAAACACTTCCACTTAAACAGAGATAAAAGTTATGAAAAAATACAGCCTAGATGATACCTCTGGAAAGGCCAAACAATTTTCCCACTCCTCTAGAAGTAAATATTTATTGTGGTTTGTGCTCCCATTCCACAGTGCTTCCCAGTTTGACAGTGACATGTTTGTGGAACAACACATAATTATTTTTAAGAACATTAGGAAAGTGCTTTCTATTCTTCTTACAGTCTTTAACACTATTATTAGTTTGTGGAAGTAGTTTCCATTAGAACAAATCCATACTGCTGTACATCACTTACTTGACAATACTGTCTGGTATATGCACATATTCCATTGGAATCATCTCATGAAGCTCTGCCAACGTGTTGACATACTGTATCTTACTGCTGAACTTAGAGCTGAAACACAGGAAAAAAAGGTATTAATTGACTTTCCCTCCCCGTCTTTTATAACATGCCAAAACCAAATGAAGGAATGTATTAAATGTATTAAATAATTAAGCATTTGGATATTCGTATTTCAATTACAGACTGAGAGACAGGACTGTTAATAATTAATGACTCAATCCACAGCTACAGAAGGCTGGTAAGAGGCACATCCTGTGAAGTGGGATAGCACATTTTATCATGCCAGTCCTCTCTTGCACAATGGCTCAGGTGTCAAAACTTCCCTCTAGGAAATAACCAGGACTTTCACATAGAGCCTGAAGGTATTCAGCCCAGACATAACTGGTGGAACATAAACAACTCAGCTTTACTGATACAAGAAAGAGGCAGCTGTAACATCTTAGAAGGCAAGGTACCTGGCCATTCCCACCTGAACTTGAGTGAATGTAAATGCAATGGACTCTGTTTTGTGGGCTTCCCCTACTCAATAAAGACAGTGACCATAACTTTGACAAGCTTGGAACCCTCATCACCAAGATCACCAGGAGAAGAGGACCAACGGGATGACATCAAGATCATAGAGTGATGATATTATTTCTACTTAGTCTGCCTGTGTTTGTCAAGCTCATTCTCCTCTCTTCACACTCATTTTATTTCTTTCTATCTCTCTCTCACATTTACTGCTAAATAAAAGTCTGTGCTATTTACTTCAGCATATGGTCTTGTCTGCACCTGAATTTGGACAGAGACATCTCTCTAATAATTATAATAACTGTATCTTAACACACAGTTCAGCTGATCATGAGCCTACCTGAGTTCTAGCGAGATTGAAATCGAGCCTACACCTTTTATTGTTCCTTCTCTAGGATGAATCACATTACTAAGCCAACATCTTAAATTGTAATGCCTATATACTAGACAATATGATTAGTTTTATAGTTTGAAGGAGATGTGTGAAAATTTGGAAAAGAATCAAATCCCTTACAGAGTACTTGCAAAAAGAGATGGGAAGCATTACTTGACATGGATATAATCATCATGACAGTTATCAAGCGAATGTGATGACTTAGCATTTCTATTTTACACCAATTCTCAATCAAACACAATAAAGCTGAATTTTGTAATTTATTCAGAAGAGCACAGATCTGATTGTGTCTATTCTTACTGCACGGACTTTTTATGACAAAATAATTGTTTATTTCAGCTGTGCTATATGATTCATTTATTGTGCTTGCAGAATGATCATTTGGAAAAAAGGCTAAATTGTTCAGAAAACACACTTAAAACTTAAGGCTATTTATTTGTCTAACCTAAGTTATTTGGTAAGTGTGAGGTTATGAAAAATCTATCTTTATCATTTGGCTTTTAAATTTTTTAAATTTAACTGTGGTTGTATTTAGATCATCTTGTAACATCAGTAATAGTGGCAAACTCATATTGACCATATATGTTAAGTCTAGGTCTTGAAAACCAGAACATATTCTTCCTATTTACTGCTGACCAGCAGGTACAGCCAGACATGGAGCGTCTGAAATAGCTCTGAGCAAAGCTTACTGTCCTTCCCCTCAACACATGTATCTTCCCAATAATGCAAAGTGAGATACCTGGAAGAGGAACACGTGAAGGTGCTGTGAACAGTTCTTTAAGCTCATTCATTGTAAATTGTTTCTGTACCCAATCAGCATAACTAGACACACACACTGGATCAGACCAATGGTCTGATTTAGATTTACGTTTTAGATCCAAGAATCACCCACGATTGTCCAGTCAAACCACATATACAGATTCATACACATTTTATACACAACATACAGATTCTTAGCATTTTATCCAAATTGTTCATCACAGTCTGAAGCATCAGCATTGCCATTTAAAGTAACCTGGCAAACTGCAAGCCAAACATAAACCTCTAAAAGATGGTGGGAAGGCACTAAAAAATCTTTCAATGGGTAACTTTTCCTCCTGAGGATTCTTCTGGGTCCACCAATTCCACTACAGTGACTGATTTCTAGGTAATTCCTTCATGTGGGAGTATATGGGCATCCCAGACACACTTCCTTTCATACTTCTAGGGAAAGTAAGCTGCCAGTAGTGGTAGCTTCCCATCATTTAAATATTTCAGTCAAATGCCAAACATGTTTCACAGACTCTTGAAAAACCCCTTAGAAATCTAATTTCTTACGTAACACAGCTCAAATTATTTTTGGAGTGAATATCTATAAGGGTTCTAATAGAATAGCTAAGATCTATCTCTGCTACCTCTAGTTCTTTCATTCTATATATTCAAAAAATGATTTTTCAGTCAAGATGGATTCCACATTCCACTGAATTCTCCTGCTAGTTTTTGAGGTAGAACAAAGATCTGAGATAGAATTGAGGGTAGCCTACCCTCAGTGACTTGACTGCCCCTCACCATTTTGTTGTCTTTCAGGTTTTTGATTTCTACTGTTTAGTCCCACATCTCAGCTGATATACAATTAAAATTATATTGCTTGCTTTTAGCTATCTCACTGATATATCTGCTTGCCTTGTGCCTATTAATTTCTCACTGTAAAATTCCCACTGTGCCTGTCAGGGGTTTGGGGAACAGCTGTGGGCTAGCAAACTAAGCTATTGTCATTGGTCTTCAATCTCATCAAGTTTTTATCTCCTTATCTGAAGAAAGGGAAGAAAACTCATAATGTTCTCCTGTCCTTGGTAAGGGTCCAAATATTTCATGTCATCCTCCAAAAAAATCACACTAGCCATGTGTCCTGCCCACCTTTTTCAGCTTCAGTTTGCACTTCACATTCGTCATGCATCAAGACTCAATCTATTTGGCTGAGGTGGTAACTTAGTGTGTCTAGTTTGGTACTGCTAATCTGCTTTGCCAAACCATTTAGAGTGAACATTTTCTCTTGTATGTCAATGAAAAACCTCTAATCACTGCTGCTTAGTATGGTCATTTTGAATAAATGACTAATGAATTGAAATTGACGTGACTTTAAAAAAGACCACTTCTGGGAGCAAGTAGGATGGCAACAGAAATATCTCAGATATCAAACGCAACTCAGGGAATCCTCGTAACTACTGGTGATAATTCCAAGTATTGTTTCCCATTCACTCTGGTATTCTAAACTGTTACTTTCAACTTGCTCTTTAAGATACCACATGGTGAAAGGAGCTCTGTTATGACATTCTGCCTGTTGCACTTTGGCAGCAATGGGACAACTCATGTGCTTCCCCACCCCAGTGTCACCTATCAGGCCAGAGCACCCTGTAACAAGAGATCTCCAGTGTCTTCACCCGAGGTCTGTGAGCAGAACTCCCTGAGAACTGTCATAACTCATCTGTGTGGCTTCTGTAGGTGAAGCTTCTTGTCCTGCCTGAAGAAACTCTTTTTTATACCTACTACTCTGCTCTCCCTGATCTCAGGATTTCAACTGCATACTTGCCCATCTTCCACAGTAAGTCTGCAGTCTTTATAGCTGGTAATTTTTTTTTCTTTTTTTTACTAATCAAACCATTCTTTTCTACAGCATTAGATCTTTTTTGAACCCAAACGGATTTAAACACCTCAGGATGCAGGCAGTCCTCTTATATCATCTATGAGCAGCAATGGTATTTTAAAAACCCAGAACTGTAGCCTAATCTGGTTTGGTAGCCAGAATTTTTTAAATAAGGTGATTATAATTACATGCAGTTCCCTTTTCTATATGTCTTTTATCTGGGTTGTGAACAAAGACTAAGGAACTGAATTCCCAGTACATACAGATACAGGATTACAAAACCATGCCTATGATTTCTGCGACTAGATACTCATATAGATCACTTTATTCCTGCAATTCACCATACGGAAGTGAAATTCAACTTCCAAAATCCCAACATGATCTATAAAATGAGCTCTAGTCAGTGAAAGATTAACAGCCATGTTTGATGATTTAGGGTGCTTATGTATTTCAGGGACATAGAAAATCACTGGTACTTACTACATACCTTATAAAAGGTCGTGTCACAGCCAGAATTGTCCTGATAAACCATGATGGATGAACAATTATAAATGATTTCAAATTCTTCCGTAATCTAAGTAAAAAAGCAATAGTTTCTTAGAAAAACAGAAAAACCCACAAAAGATAAAGATCATATACAGTAAACCTTGGCATGCAGGTAGGTGAGTTACAGAAACAGGACACTGTTCAAAATAATGGCTGCGGATCAGACAGGAAAATACTACTCACCGTCGATCAATCATCTGATAACATTTTTTCATCCAACCCAGTCCAGGCATCCTTCTTCTTGGTGTTGCTCCATTCAAGTAGACAATCATATAGTCTTCAGCTACCATCAGCTCTAAGGTACTGATTACATACCTGATAAAAATACAGGTGTCAGTGAACATATATTGTACATTATCTGATTGAGCCCAAATTAAATCAGGCTACTAGGAATAAATGAAGGCAGTCTGAACACTTTATGACAATACAGGCTTTTCTCTTCCTTTAAACAAAAGCAAACACTTAGCACTGATCACCATGGTACCTGTAGATATACAGCTAGAAAATCACAGTCCTACATGTGTCTTCAAAAATATGTGGTTTCCATACAAAAGTAAGAGTTTAGTTTAGTGAGTCTTCAAGTATCCGTGGTGAATTTGCTGCTTCTTAAAAAGGAATTGAATCAGAAGATTTTGTAAGGGAGAACATTGCATCAAGTGAAGTCCTAGAAACTTCTGAAATTAACTCTTGAGAAACTTCTATTCACTATTCTAATCACCAAGTTTGATGAATACAACAATAAAAAGTGTCAGAAGATACCTGTTTATACTTCTTGTGATCCTCACACTCTGGCTACAGAGTCTGTGACTGCAAAATACAAATACTTCGACACCCAGACCCAAGAAAACCTGTCAATCAACTTGACTGATGGGACAGACAATTCCTGACATCACTTCATTTTTCCAGCAAGACACTCCCAAAACTCATTATCAGACAGTGCTCTTGGGGCCAAATGCATCCTACCTAGAAAAGCACACTACTCATTCAAATAAGAGGATAGCTTTAAATTCTTGTTTAGGACTATCTATGCAGATAGTCCACTCAGAAGTTTCTACCTCATTTGGGAGCTGATCATTATCAGAATGTTCAAACTGTTCTCTCTACTAGCCAGCCTCAAGGCATGCCTGTGTAAAAACTCAAAGGCAAAACCACAAGTCACACCTTAAAAACCTGAATGCCTCACTACAAAAGGCAGCTCTATCCCTAAGCATAATGGCCCCTTTCAGAGCTGTATGGGCATGCCTCACAATCTAATCTGACCCTTAAATTCCTTAGGCAATGTCTTTAAAAGAATTTTAGGAAGTCTAGTTCTCAACAGAGAGTGGTATTTTACCCGGGCTAAAGTAGGCAGCCATTACCTAGACCAGTTCCATGCATTTGGTAAATCCCCTCCAAATCACTACTCCCTCAATGCATTCCACAGCTCATCCTTTGCAGATGTGCATTCCCTGCTTTTGCCTGACATTTGTGAAGGTTTATGTCTAATATATGATGGTGATATAGGAAAGCAAGGGATTGCATGGACATTCTGATGCATAAAGCTTATTTAATAGCTACTTTAACAAAGCTACTATTTGACAGGTTATAAGATTAGCCCTTCCCACAGGGCAGAACATCTAGTGCTTCAAAGGCACTTAAACACTGAAACACACAGAACTGTGTAAGTGCATATTAAAGTACTACAAGTCTTTCATTTATGGAACATGACAGTCTGAAGAATGTCTGTTTATTAACTCTGAAGGGAACTGTGCCTTATTATGAATTAATTTGTTATAGTAAGAAAAATTATGCCAATTTCTCATCAGAATTAAGAGGCCTATCATGACAAAAAGGAATCTTTGCTAGTTTTTGATTCATAGCTCACATACTTTCATTCAACAGCTCTTATGCAATGCAAGTTGAATTAGATAATTTTCCATTTTTAGGATGCTGAGCTCCCTTGTAAACCTTACCTATGTAGTAATTTCTTATTATTTGGTAATAATGGCAATTTCTTCATTATTTAAAAAGATGGACAGAAATTTTCTCATTGACTAGAACAACTGAATCACTCAGAAAGCAAAGTGCTGGTTTTGTTTTCAAAGTGTAGTTTTTCTAATTGAGATTATTTAAAAAAAAATTAATCTGTGGACTGGCTTTAATCTGACTTTCAGGCAGCCACAAATTAATCAGTAGTGTTTTTTTATGTGGTTCTGCATTATCTACAAAAACTGCTGTATAAGCTGTTTCAAGCATTTTCACCCAAATTCAACCCTTCAAAGACAATTTTACAGAATTTGTCAATATAAAAAACAGGAAGAAGATAATTGGAAATGTGAAAGGAATTCAGACAGGAAAGGAACAATTGAAGACAGTTGTTAATCAGAAACTAGAGGTAGCTTATATGCTACCAGAAACATTATGTATCAAAAAAGAGATTCAATGGTCTGCAGGTCTCTCCAGATCCCTATATAATTCAATAGTAAAGAATTACCAAATATTTAAAAATGTCAGTTACTGTATATTTAGTAAACTGTTGCCCTCCCCCTATTTCCATGCAATTAACAAACCTAGAATGGAAAGAAAATGGTGAACTTACTCCTTTTTCTTATTCTCTTAGAAAGAACCAACTGTCTACAAGCCTTAAAATAAGCTGCAAGTTCACAGCCAACACTCCAGAAAAAATGAATAAAAAAAAAATTATAAAATGGACTCCGGCAATATCCTTAAGCCATATGTAAAATGCTCTTAAGGCCTTCTCTGCAGAGTTATTTTATCACCAGCTCCATCTGAACAAAGGTCTTGGGTGAAGACAAAGAACAACTATTGAATGTCAGTAATGGTTACAGTCAGCTTTGTTCCTTACTTATCAAGCTAAAACCACTGTAGCAACTCCTTTCTCTCTTCTAAATCACTGGGCATTGTGAGTATCAGTTACTGTAGGTGACATTTTGTTCTTAGAGGCTCTACCAGGCAAATGATATCAGTTGTTGTGACGAGAAACTAAAACCTAGTCTTGATTTTCACACATAGACACAATGTTAAAGGCACTGGCTGCCAACAAGTGCATCTTCACAGACTGGAATATTAAAGAGACATGGGTCAGTGCCTTATAAGCTGCAAATGGCAAAAGCCAGGTCTCCTGCTGGCTTTAGGAAATACTTACTGTGTTTTAGCATAGAAAACATTGGAATGATTGATTTTTTAACAGGTGTAAGAGGAAGTAGCTGATACCACTTCAGGAGAGTGCTGCCTTCAAAATTTTGGGCTGTCAAACCAATGGCTAGTAGAAATAATTTTCCTGTGATAGACTTGGGGTTATGTTGCCAAATTTGTGTCCTACCTAACTAGCCCCTGCCACTTCTAGCTGCATCAGAAGCAGCTGGAGTCAGGAAGCACAGTTAGAGCTGCTTGTGTCAGCAATTGCCATTTATCCTGTTTTTAAAAAACAAGTGTCAAGAAAACGCCCTGTAACTCCTAAACCCAAGACAGTATATATTAAAAATACATTCAGGGATGCATATAATAAACAATGAACAGTGAAAAATTGTCTAAGCCCCTGCTGATTTTTCTGAGCAATCTGGAAATCACTAGTGAAATAGTGCAGAGACTGTAGCCCCAACAAGGTGAAGATACTGAATTCCTTGACATTTAGAGAGATACTAACAGTCAGGTTTGGTCCTGACAAATACACCTTAATTTGGGAAGGTAAGAAAGATAACAAAATAATACTGCACTGAGCAATTTATCCAAAACTGCTATCTTCCTTGTCACTTCCCTTCTAACAACCAAAATTACCTCTTAAGGAAAGAGAGGTTACCTCTCACTGCATAATTTTGAGTACAGACTCGAAAGACCCTGTCACATTGCTCACATATCACTCACAGGAACAGATTTTCCATGACATAGTTGTAATCAGTTCGACTGCTGTCTGGCAAGAAGCATGCCGCAAACACAATGATAGCATTCAGACCATCACCATAGTATCCTGTGGAAAAAAAATGAAAACGCATTTTTACCTTTGTCAGAGGCTTAAACAGGATAAATTTAAAAAAAGCAAAACCTCAAAGTCCTGTAATAAAGCTGCTATGTCTACTGCTGAAGCATACAAAAGTGCTTCATACCAAAAGTTTGAAAATGTATGAACTATCATGAAGGAAGGATAGTCAGCTAAGCTAAACCCTCAAAAACTAGACATGGCACAGCTACTAGTAAACTTTTTATAATGACCATCAAGAAAACCTTCTAAGGCTTTACTTCTGGTTCATTGCAGCTCTATGGCAACCATGTACTGAATGCTCATCTCAGACTGAGGAAGAAGGGGCTAAAGAATATATCCTAGGTTTGTTGTCCTGCATTGCTGAATTATGCTTCACAAAGTCTTGGAGCTGGCCTGTGAAGCTCCAATGGCTTCAGAACATTACAATTATTACTGCACTCCACTATCCCTTAAAAGCTCCTGGGGATCAGTTAAATTCTTTGCTGCAAGTTTGGTGTAAATTACATTTTAACCTTGGATACTCCAGTTGTCCAATACTGGCATTCTCTGGGCTGCATCACTGCCCAGTGATAGCTATTAATCTTCAAAGCTGTAGCACTACCATTCCAGGGCCCAGCACAGTTGCTTATTATCCAGAAGAAAATGTTTCTTTTTCATGATGGATTAATGTTGGTTAATCTTCTCCAGAATCCTTTGCAGCTGCTGTGGATTTTCTGTATTTATCATTAATAATACATAAAAAATACTCCTGCATTTCAATTGATAGTTTTGCTTAAAGGATACATGCAGTTAGGAGGGAATTTATGAAGATGCTGTAGAATGGTTGTAGGTAGATAGCACTAATGATGCAGAGACAGATGTACTCAGAGAACACTCAGAAACCTTGTGGGTTTAGAAAAAAACTGACACTGAGGGAGATGATAGGATCTGTGAAGGAAACTTCAATTCCCCTCAGGAACATGTTTTCATGACAAAAATTGAAGGATAATACTAACACTTGAACAACCTTTCCAGAAGGAGATTTTAAGATTTTTACAGTGCTTTCTGGATAGTAGAGAGCAATATCCATGCCTAACTAAACTGCAGGAACTCCAGTCCTGTTTTCAGCACATACTATCATTCAGCTAGATTATTTGGAATTGGGCTGGTTTTGGCTGGCACAGAGTTAATTTTGTTCAGAGTGGCGAGTATGGGGCTGTAATTTTGATTTGCATTCAAATTCAATAGTTGATAATACAGAGATGTTTTTGTTATTGCTGAGCAGTTTCACTAAGCACCAAGGCCTCTTCTGCTTCTCATACTGCCCCCCACCACTCAGAGAGCAGGCTAAGGATGCACAAGAACTTGGAAGGGGGAAGACAAGCCAAGACAGCTGACCCCAGCTGACCACAGGGATATTCCAGACCATATGGCATCATGCTCAGGAGGGGAAGAAGGAAGTAGGAGGGGACATTTGGAATGATGGCCTTTATCTTTGCAAGTCACTGTGTGATGAGGACCTGGTCTCCTGGAGATAGCTGAGTACCTGCCTGTCCTTGGGAAGTAGTGAATTAATTCCTTGTTTTGCTTTGCTTGTGTGCACAGGTTTTGTTTTATGTATTAAACTGTCCTTATCTCAACCCAAGACTTTACTCACTTTTCTGATTCACCATGTGGGAGTGAGTGAGTGAGTGACTGACTGCGTGGGGCTTGGTTGCCAGCTGGGTTTCAACAAAACAACAACAGGAAAAAGCAGTATTTCTCTCCCCCTCAGGTTTACAAATAGGGAAATAGGGAGAACATTTCCTTCCTTCCATAAATTTAATAAAAATTTAAAGTGTTTTATATCATGCTCCCATAAAGCAATCCGTCCAGCTGGCACAGGAACTTGGCAGTAAGAGCACATTACGGCAGGTGCATCCACTAAATTACACAGTAGTCTGCAGTTCATGGAAAGCAAAACAATTATGTGCAGATGCTAACTAACAACACACAGAAGAAAAATCCACAGATAAATCTAAGCCACTTTTTCTCACACATGCTTGAAGAGAAGGAATGTTCACCCTCGGGACAAGCGTATTTTAATTCATCACTGAAAGCCAGTAAAAGCCATTTGCCCAGAATCTCACTTAGCCTAAGAAAAAAAAAATATCTAAGAAATTTCTCCATCAACATATGTTAAAGACAATCTCAAACCTACACTGCCAAATCTACTCTTCCCTTCCCTATTTTTAGGGAAATACCACCTAGATTCTGCATTTGCTGTTATCTGTCATTTGGAAGGGAGAAATGTTCAGCAGATCTTTGAATCATCAAGAAATGCTTGACTTGACTTCCTATTGCCTAATTTTAGTCAGAACCTAGTATTAATTCTGAGATTGAAGAAGACTCCTGGCCCTCTAAACACTCCACTGAATTATTGCCAAAGGGAACTTCATATGGAATGGGCCTTGCTGCCAAAATGTAGAAACTATAGTTTTCCATAGTAGACAACAAAATTATTTTGTTTCCTTGCCTTCAATCTGCCACTTCATAAATGGAGAATTTAATCCAGTCCTTAATTTACTTTGATTTGCCTAGATATCAGGAAAAAATTCCAGTTTAGGCAGCGGCAGGCTGAAACCTATCATTATATTTGACACTGTTTGTTTTACAATGAATAATGGTATTGACATCTTTCAAAAGTAAAGAAAACTAAATGCTCTTCATCTTACATTTGAGTGATCTAACAAAATATCAGACATGTAAAATTTGAATTCAAATTATTGCATACTCAGAGTTGAGGCGAATCACCTAATTACATTAAACATTGATTTTTCACAAAAGCCATTATAAACTTCAGCATTCAGTAGGAAATATACAAGTTTTTACTGCAAATGTATTTTGACTAGTTTACAGCATACAAAAATATATAAATAAACAACATTAGCAAAGCCCAAAAATATTTTGTGTTTGTTTCCTAAATTAAGCCATCTGTGTATGTTTGCTAAACTGTGTCTGAGGTGTCATCACATTCATAAATCTTTGACAGTAGTGTTGTAGTGGAAAAATGCTTGCAGGCCTAAACATCTTTATTAATTCTGGTTAAACCTTCTGGTTAAACCCTGGCCACCATGAATACCTGTAGGCTAGCATTTAGCTGCTTTTAATGTAAAAATTAACCATCATTCATTTATGTAATTTTACCAGATGGAGGCTCAACACTGAAAATGTTTTAACTTTAATATTTTAGTATCTTTAAGTGATGCTGTAGATCAACAACACTGTGACAAAAGCATCCTAATACAAACTCATAAATCTTACCTCTGAGATGCTACATTGCCTGCCTCAGTTTTTGCAGGAATAAAACAACGCAACCTAATACCTTGCTTAACAGGTAGCAAAGAGTGCCCCCAAAAAATACAGAATCCAAAGATAATCACCTGAGACACCAAGGAAAAGGCATTTAGAAAGCCTTGTTTAATTTTCTTCCTTCAATATAGTAAGACTTAACCATTTGAATTAATTTATACAGAAGTATACTGGTAACCCTGAAATCATGAATTCTCTGAGGAAGCTGGATAGCAGATGAGCAAATGAGAAAATACAGCAAGCACATGGGGCCATTTTCCTACTTCAAATGTTTCCTTTGATATGTTATTTGATAGTTATTAATAAATTCTGTAAAAAGTCCGATAAACCAGTTCCTGGTGAAATGCTGTTGACAACTATAAATGGCAGAAAAATAGAAAAAAGCAAGTAGTCAGATGAATGAAAGCCCCAGGGAAAACTATCTGTTTTCTTTTGCCACTCTACTTGTTTAGATCTGCGCAACCACATCCTTCATTCAGCAAATCACGAAGCATTGTACTTCCTCACACAAAAGGTTTTGTCAAAACTCACCAAATGAAATTTTTAAAGTTTTATTTTGCTGCAGGTCCAAAGCTTTTTTCCTTGTTCAAGACAGTTTTACCCTACAGTGACCAGATTGTTCCTGACACATATATGTCAGTATGCTGCTTCCAAAATAGCTTTGAATTTGAAATTCTTACTAGTCATTGCCACACTGAATTGAAAGCATGGCTGATTTCAGCCAAGGCTGAAAAATAAATTCTCTCTCCCCTTGTCAGTATGATAACAGAACAAAAATAAGAATAAATCATGATCAATAAAGCATTAATTTTTTACATCAATTTAGAAAACGCTTACAGCTTCTCCTACCTCCATGTGAAATGACCTTTTTGTATGGTTCAATGACTTTCATATCAATTCTCTGTTCTTGTTCTCCAATAACCACTGTCCTCCATAACCTGTTGTCCTCTCGCTCCTCCTCAGCAGTGTACTCTGGAATTGACTCAGACTCCTCTTGGGAAGCATCCTTAGTAGCAGTTCGATCTTCTGAAAAGGAGAACTGTATATATTACCTCTTCCTGTGAAATATTTTTGCTGTTACATACATTTGAGATGGATGACTGAAATCAACTGCATTTTTACAGTACTGGTATAAATAAGAGCAGAATATGATCATCTGACAGTCAGTAAAAAAGAAGTTTCCATTTTCTTAAGACAACTCATCTTTATGAACATAGAAAGAACTGGCAATTATCACCAAGGGATTTTTGCATCCAGCTGGTAAAACTGAGCAGCTGTTCACTAGAGTTACTGCACGGTAGGCCTTCTAAAATCTATGTTGAAGGTACAAGAACTATGCTAACCCACCCTGTCAAATAAATGTGAACATGTGAATACTTCCTGTCTAGAGAGGAATTACCAGAGAGCTATAGCTTCTCAACTTTTTTCCCAGTTTGTCTTCAATCTCTTTACATCCACTATCAGCAACTGTGAAGAACACTCATCTTTGTCTGATTAAGTCATGCTGACTCCTCATATAAACATAGTAGTTACTTCCCCCTGGGATTGTCTGAGATTAAATGTCAATTTTCTCCTGCTGTGAAGTACAGAGCAGCCAGGCAGTCTGACCTGTTCTATGAGCACCCTAGAGAGAACATAGACTTGTAGTCTGAAGACATAATGACCACAAAATACTAACAGTATGGCTGACAAGTGACCATAAAGTCTCTCTGCTGAATACTCCTAGTTTCAAAAAAACTGGGAAGTAATTAATAAAATCTTCATTTTCATTGCACATTGATGGGATTGCTCTTAACAATAAATTTAACTACATTCCAGTTTTTCAAATTTAATGCCTGTTTACAGAAAAACTGACATGAAAAGTGATTATGTCCACAGCTGGAATTATTTAACTTCCCTCTTTAGTTATTGTTACAACATGCTGTGTTTTCCAAGGGGGGAAAAAAATTCCCTCTCTTAACATCCTTGCTGAAACACCTTTGCCTCGTGGTTCTGTGTACGTATTACTAATTTACCTTCAAAGTAAAGATCCTGTAAATTTTATGCATGACACATATTTGAAGTAAACTGTTCTTTCTAAAGCATTATTCTGGCTCTGCAGTCATAAGAGCTGAACTTGACTTGCAGATCAGTAAGTGAGGTAACAGTAAACAAAGATACAGTGAGATACTTCATGACATACACAGGTGTATATAAAAAGCTGCAGGCATTCTATTTGAAAATACTATGGAGATCTATGAGAATTAAGAATAAACTAAAAGAAGTGATTTTAACTGACAAGAACTAAAGAACACAATGTTTCATAGATGTCCTCAAACTTTTCTATGCGTTGGGTTATCTACAGATGTGCCTCTCTGATTAATGCTTCTTGGACTACTTGTAGTGGTTCAAAATCAAAGTATATGATCCTCAAAACACACTAGTTTATCATAAGAATTGAATAAGCTATCTATGAAATCAGGAATATGATAGTATTCATATATATATATTCAGATATATACAGTAGTATATACATCACATATATCTACATAGAAGCTCCAGACACATATACATACATGCACTATTAATTTACAAAACTGAATTCTCCTTTAAATCCTACCAATAATTTCACCAAATCTGTTACAAACACCAAGTTTCTCTAAGCCCACAAAAAAGGCTTCATAAAAAAATAGTTGAGCACATATTTATTACTACACTAGGACTAATGAAGTCTGAATGTCTACTGCTGCCTGTTTATTTTCTGTCCCTAATACAAAATATTATTAGGGAATTATGCTGGCAGAAGGTGCCCCTCTCTGAGGCAGATTCTCTCATGTGCAATGAAATCTGAGGCTATAAACAATTCTCTACTTTACCTAGCTGCTGCCTGATGGAATCTTGAAAGGAAGGACAAATATTTCACCTCTTTCCTTACTGTCTAACCAGCCAATGAGTTAAAAACATACTCAAATAAAATTGTATTAATGGTGGAAAGAGATGGAAAAGCAAGAAACATATCTATGTGCACCTACAGTGTGACTATGCAAGCCTTTCTGCCTTAAGAACTCCAAATAAAGTGAGTTTGAGGAGATCTAAGGTCAGACAAAGTCTGACAAATAGTGGGGTTTTTTCAAGTATAGTATTTCAAATTGGTTTAACAGTTGCTGCTCAGCAGATTAAATACTGAGGAACTGAAAAATGTTCACAATGCTCACAATGTTTCACAATAACATTCAGCTTTGAAATACCACGTATTCTGTGACACTGAGAATAAGCTTACAAAATGCATAACCCCACTACCTTCAATCCTAGGTATCTTAATGCAATTTTGTATGTTGTCAGTTTTGCAAAGGTACTGTTGGTAGCAATATGAAAATTGCAAGCATACAGTCAAGTTGTACACACTCTGAACAAGCTATTGCAGGGCAGCCCATTCCTGTAAGGATATAGGTTTTCCACAGTTGTTATGCAGCTCAGGTAATTTTAGAACAGATAGATGGGATTATCAACACAGCCTATGAAGACTGTCTGGTCAGCCGATTCCTCGTGAAGTGGAAAGAACATGACTGAGGCTGAGAAGCACAGCTGGCAGAACAAGCTTATAAACAGGCTGGGCTATGTACATGGCTGACCAATGCTGAAATTGTATTTGGGGTTTGGTAACTTTTTTTTTGGCTGGTGAAACCTAAGACGATGAAAATTACTAAGACCCTGAAAAAACTTAAAATGTTGAAACTGGATACATGAATTCTATTTTAATAGAAATGGTACCAGATTGCCTCTTCCTGATGGAAGTAGCTCTCCTTTACTGCCTGAAGTGTTGATTTTGCAGAGCAAGATGTACAAGTGTGAAATTCAGAAAGGAAATAAGTATTTGCAGAAAAAATAATAACCATTCTAACTTTACAAACAGTGTTGATTTGAGAACAGGCCTTCACTGATACTCATACATGGTTTTCAGAAATGCAATTTTTATGTCACCTACAGCAATAATCACAAAAAGCTCATTTCAGAAACTAGCATGGCTTGTAAAGGGGATGTTGGAATATATGGTATTTGTGATTAAAACCCCCACGCCATGTAACTGATGATCAACCAATCTCTGAACAAGTCAGGTGCTAGTTCAAGACAAGTAATTTAGTATTTCTGCTCTCGTCTTTCATTCATATTGCAGTTGTGGTGATTCTTCACCATTCTTTTGAAAAAATGGGTTTCAGTATTACCTATAATACAGAGACATTTTTCAGTAATGAGGTGGACCCCTTAACTATGGTAACAGTCTTGCTTTTCTCAGTTGTCTTTTGTCTTTCAAAGGAACCTTCAACAATCTGATCATGACAAAAATCACCGTTCTTTCTGGTCTCAGCAGCTATGTTTTTCTCAGTATTTACTTTTCTGGGTTTGGCAGTTAGAAACATTGAACTGTGGGAGATTGCTAGTAACATCAGAGTGCACACCAACTAACAGAGTACAGGAATACAAAGATAACAAAGGCTATTTACCATGCAAATAAGCCATTCTGCACTGGTTTTTATGACTATAAGCTTAGCTATCAGATTAACGTTACATACAGCCAGCTTCTTTTATTGCTGGCTTATTCTGATAAAATGTTGATTTTTTTTTTATTTTTTTTGTATTTTCTACTCTTCATTGCTCATCTCAGCAGAAGATGTTTTAACTATTAACTATATAAAATAAAACTACTCAACTATATAAATGTCACTAAAACCAGAGGAACCCTGAGCTCTTCACTTAGGAGTTTGGGGAAATTGGTCCGACTTTAAGAACTGAAGAATCATCACATTCAGAAAGCAGAAAATACACCACTGGGAGGAAATGCCTGCCATCAATACAACTGCTACCAAAATCACTGGAGTTGAATTTAATTACTTGAGGGCTTAAAGGCAACACCTGTTCTACTGCAGACAAGGGACCTTTTCTCTCACATGGTGGTCACAACAGTCTAAGCATGTGAGCCCGTGTGTGTGTGTGTGTGTGTGTGTGTGTGTGTGTGTGTGAGTTTTAACCTTCACCATAAAATCTTCTAACAATCAAGCAACTCATCACTACACTCTGCACCTACCCATAAGGAAATCAGCCTCCTCATGAGAAGTAACATTAGAGATGCTCATGCATGATTGAGTTCACAGTAACGCCTCTTTGGCAACACCACTTAAAATAATGCAACTGTTCTTGTATGCTACAGCAACCTCTCTGGCATTAGGGACAGTAAATGCATGGGAAAATTCAGTTTAAATTGATCCATTTTTAAAGTTTCTTTCTGCTCTTGGCTGTAAAATGCTCACACTTATTTTCCCCTGAAACAGCTTGTGATCTGTGGGTATTTATATCAGAGATTACAGCTCTTACATGTTTACATTTTGTAAGGTACTAGCAAGGAACAGGAAACAACCTATTTTGAACATCATGAATCTAAGTAAACTGAGTAAAACCTCTACATCATATTTCTATAAGAGAAAATCATTAATATGTGAAGGAAGAGTGAAGTATCCATTGTACACTTCAGGGTGCATCTATATACTGTACAGCTAGCCCTGCTGAGAAAGGACATTTAAATTAGTGGAACAAGGAATTCTGTTGTTCCATCACCTGAGCTAGCTTCACTATGCCATTCACACACCTTCCATATCTCAGCTTTCCAAACAATGTAACGAAAAACAGACCTTTCTTCCTAACAAAAGACCTCTCAGCACATTGTGTTTACCTCACTTATATACTGCAAGACCTTTGGTGCAGCCAACATATTTTGCACAAAGTTCTATTCCTAAATATGACTGATGTAACTGTAATCTAGAGCTGGCCAGAGCTGCAAAAAGCTGCAGTTAGCTGCAGCATTCTCTACAGCAACGGTCAGCTGCTTTCTCCTTCTTGAACTGTTGTTTTCAGACAAGTCCTGTGGTACTGGACAAAGACAGGACTTTGAATTTCATTCTCCCCAGGTAGCTGCTCTTTCTTTATTAATTCAGCTGTACTCTTTCTTTCTGCATTCTGAATAAATAGAAGGATAATACTTTACACAGGAGGAGTAAAGGTTAAAAAACAACAGACAGTAAAAATACCTGGATGCCTAGCATTAACTCTCAAATGCTTTAACCATACTTAAAATCTAAAAGACATGAAACTGAGCATGCAAGTAGTAAAAAAGAAACAGAGATGAACTCTACATTTACAATTTAGAATACTACCTTGTCCAGTGTATTCAAAAGAGTCTGCTTCATCAGGAGTGTCAAGGTCATCTACATTAATGTCAATTTCATCAGGTGTATCCAAATTATCATCAGACAGTATAGACCCTTCACTCTGGTCCAATGAGAGATTTATGTTTGGAGCAGTGAGCTTTATCCTTCTGGGTTGGGAACCATTAAGATCAAGAGAATTGGGAGGTTCTGAATAAAAAGGAAAAAAACAAAAAAAAAGAGATAAAGAATTTAATCTACTCCATATAGAATTCATCTCCCAGGTACACAAAAACTACCTTTACACACACTGCCACAGTTCAATTCTAGTACTACCATGTCATTTAAGACCATGTAACACAAAACACAAATATTAGCATTAATGTTCAATTAAATGAAACAAAAAATCTACAGGAGCAGCAAATGTAGCTCAGCGCTCTTAAATTATGTTAAATCCAGATTCACTATTTTGCAATTACCAGACAAAAATCAGGTTTTCAACATGCTCTGACCCACAATATTTAAGAATTTAAAGGGAAAATACAAATAATTTGAGTTATGAATCAAGACATTACCAAGTCCTGGGAAAAATCTGTATGAGTTAAAAGCCATTGTAAATATTTATTTCCTTATGCACTCAGTGCTGATTTACAAATACTTACATTTATAGCTTTAACTACATAGTATCTTGATATAATAACAAAAAAAATCTCTGAGTTTCTTAATCAGTCTTAAAAAGAAGCAATGTTCAACAAGACAAGAGCTAGATATACCTTTGTTCCTTGCCTGTACCTTGTATGGCACATTTCAAGTTGTTCTGTCTAACTCCGTTCACTTAGACAGAAGTCAATTATAAAATAAATAATACAAACTACTAAAACTTTACAAGACTAAACACATGGTAAGAATGCTAAAGAGAAAATGTCACATTGTAGTTATAATTTATCAAGTGAAGAAGAAAAATTACTAAATAAAGCAAACTCAATACTTCTTTCTTTTTAATGCTGAACTGATTCTTTACCAGCACAGAGATCATTCTCACTGCATAATTAAATGCCACAGGAATTAACCAAATTAATGCCACAATTTAGAAAATGAACAAGAGCATCTCTCACCAGGTCTCATCTCTGTAGAACTGGGACTCATTACACCCTCAGCTAAGGGGATGTCCATTCCCACATCCTCTTGTATCAACCTGAGAGGTAAATACAAAGTAGTTTCTTAAAGAGATATATATAGCTCATGATCTTATACGGAACTAAAATTTCCTCCAACATAACCACTTCAGATGTGATTACAAAATTGATGGTGCAAACAACATTATTTCTCATTCTATACAAATGAAGATGGTTTTGGTTATCCAGCAAACTGAAGACATCACTGCAAGGAGCTTCAGCTACTCTTTGTAAAACAGTATATTCAGGACTGTATATATAGTTACTATATAGCACAAATTAGTAGGTTTTCCCTTTTTTGGTATCATTTGTATCTTGGAGCAATTCTGACGCAAACCAGTAATATTGATGCAGGTGATGTGTCACAGTGAAGAAGTTCAGAAAGTAAAAAAGTGAAAACCAAAACTACATCACAGATTTTTAAAGACTAAATTGTTGCAAAATACCTTACCTAGACTCCATTTTTAGGAAGATAGTAAGAAATTACATTTAACATACATACATACATATGCAAGTACCTACCTACACATATACATACAAGGAAAAGGCACTAAGTGGTGAAAATAGCAACAAAGGTAGTTAAATGTTTAAAGCAAGTTGACTTGAACTGTTTTCATGCTTACTTGTTATTTAAATATTTTACAAAATACTTGCTTGAAGGATGGTTCAACTGCAAATAAGAAACTACATTTTAAATTTTCAGGGCACCCTTAACAGCTTCCAAACTACTGGCAAAACTATTACTTCAAGAGAGCTTCATTTACTTTATCATAGTACTTGTAGCATTTTACTCTGCATTACTGTTCTGAAATCTGTTTTCTTTTTTTCTTTTTCACAAAGGCTGAAGAACAGACTATTCTTACATTTTGACCAAAAGAACTGGGATGAAACCAGGAACTGGTACTTTTCCCTGCAACAGCATCAGCTGACTGTGTTTTGAATGATTCAAGTGATTCAGCTGAACAGATCTGAATAGGTGCGGCTTATTGCTTTTACAGTTTCTTCCTGCCCTCACTTTCCCAATGAGGAGGAAATACCCTTCTTATTTGATTGTGCCCAGACAAGACCCTCTGGTCAATCAGTGTATCGAAGTATGAGTATAGTTTCTGTGATTTCTCATTAATTTCATATGAATTATATATAAATGTGCATATGTAGGGCTGTCAAAGGCTTCACTGTGCCTAAAGTTGAAAAAGATGTTTATTTCAAGTGCCGTGAGATCAAATTCCCAATACAGACAAGCAACCTAGTGAACTCCCACTTTTCCATAAGACCATAGAGAACAAAGTTTAAAGCTATGGTCAGCTTATGTTTGTGCTGTTCAGCTTACAACCAAGCCTCTCAAAAAAACCTGATTTTACTAATTTTGATTTTATCCCCACGTACTGTATAGTAAATCTTTCATGAATACAGAGATGAACAGCTTAATGATTTTTACAAAACATATCAATTCTGGAATATGTTTAATTACTGTCAAAGAAGGCTTGATGCACAACAGAATAGTGAAGAAATTTGATCAAAGTATCCTGTTCATGAATAATATGGAGGTACACATTGTCCCTTTTCCCCCCCTTCTCTCTACAATTATCTGTATTCAGAAAAACTGAATACCACCACAACTTACATAGATAATGTAAATAAATCATTAGAGTCTTTGTGGGTTTTTTTGGTTTGGTGATTTTTTTTTTTGTTTGTTTGTTTGTTTTTGTTTTGGGGGTTTTTATACAATCCATAATAAAAGATGAGTAATGAAGACTGATTCATTCACCTGAATTAACTAGAGAGAAATCCTAGTTCCAAAGAAGTGCTGTAAGTAATAGCTGGCTAAGGCAAAAAGCCTTAGTGGAAAGGGTATGGGGAGAGTATGAGTATTTCTAACCCATTTTTAAACTCAGATTAGGATTTTATGTTTTAAAAGTTAAAATTAAATAAATAAATAAATAAAATTAAATAAAATTTCATTTTATTTTATTAAGCTTTCAAAAAGTAAAACCGTGAAGACTTCAATTAAAGCAGCTTATGACTAGTCAGATGATGACTTATGGGTACTCAAGGGTTTATATTTTGGTTGGGAAGAACAGAATTTTGGTACTATGATAGTTTCAATAGAATGACAAAAGACTCCTTTTCTCTACAAAGACTGATGAAAAGACTATAGCAAAGTTGGGACTGCTTTAACCACCAAATTTTGTCCCTATGTTGTCAGTTAAACAACAGAATGGTTGGGTGGTTTTGAAGAAGGGTTTCTGGAGGTTTTATTCTGGTTTCTTACTCTTGTAGTTTTGTTAATAAACTTTCTTTATTCCTTTTAAGTTTTGAGCCTGTTTTGCCCTTCTCCTAGTCCATATCTCACAGCAAAAAAGTAAGTTCTCTAGTGATGTTTTAGCTAGTGCTTTAAAACCACTACAGGTACTTGGTTACTACATTGGTTATTCAAACCATTAATTTATGATATTTCTTACAGCTTTATCAGATCAAGTGGCAATTTCATACTGCACAACCTTTGGAAATTACTGGAGGAAATTATTTGGAAGGAAATATTCAAAGTTGTGTGAATAGTAAGATACAGCAGGATATTGAAATTTCAGGCTTTCTGTATTGAAAAGAGACACTATTCTCTGCATAAAACAAAAAGAAAAAAAAGTTTAAGAATGAAGATCATCTTTTCCTCTGTATGAAAAGAGCACAACTGAGTTTTATATACTCTATGCCTACAGAAACAGTGACAATTATAACCTGAAATAAAGCAATTTCCCACAAGTAATTAATTCACAAATTTAGGGTAGCTTAACATTTTTGCAATGCCCAGGACAGAATTATCCTAAATCATGGCATTTCTAGGGTTACCTCAAGACTGCTTTTCTCCCTGTGGCATCTTCTTTTTATTTTTTTAACACATACGTATTTGAGTTGGTATTGCTACTTTTTCAAGGGCCTCTTACACTTTCACAACAAAAACTCAAAGTATTTTTCTGCTTTTACTAGCAGAGACCACTGCAGCTGAGTTAAACCAAAAATTTTTATCATAGGTGTGAAGAACAGTACATTTCTAGGTATTAAAAGATATATGTGTTTGATACACTTGTTTGAATTTCGTATGAAATTCAGCTACGAGCAGCATACTCAAAAAATATCCTTCACTTATGGATTACAGTTAAATAACATCAGAATTTGTTGGATAATTTCTAATTTTATTTGTTGACACAGTGTTTTTAATGTCAAAAATCTGTACTGTTCATATTGGATTATTAAATTTGGAAAGTAAGATTCTCTGTTCCTAAAAGCACTTGGTCAAAGCAGGCATTTAAAAAGTCCAGTTACGAAAAGCATTGTTGACACAAGGTTCTCCATTTCATCTTCAATTTCATAAAATGCTATTGCCTTTCAGAAGATTTTTAGAGATTAGATTAGGAGAAAGTCTGACTTGGGAGCTAGTCTTATTTTTCGGAATCCTTTGTGCTTTACACGAAGACATTAAAGATTCCTTGCCAGACATACAGTTTAGTGAAAGTTCTTAATTTTCATATGCCATAGTCAATATTTCAGTCATAAATTAATGGGCAATACAGACATGTTTAAAATCATATTTAAATTATATGTCTGTGATACTGAACCCCAACAAAAGGCTTCAGAATTGCCATCAGTAAGAGAATAAGGAGGATATAGATGAAGACTGTTTTCTACAGATACAGCTTCACATTTTCTGATGGATTTTGAGAGGATGTTATGCTGAGCAGCTCAGCATCTTGCAGAGTAATTTCTGGCTGTGCAGAAGCTCTCAACAGACCTCAGCAGGAACCCTAGTAATGGAAGTCAGACCACAGAAACTTTAAAATAGACAACTATCTCCTGTTCCTTTCCCACAGACTACTCCACACGCTTTCAAAATTCTGGCTTATAAAATCCCTTGCCTTGCCATAAGGGCGCAGCTTATAACATGGATGATGTGGACAAAAATATTTAAGAGAGATATATATTTTTTTAATCCCTTTTTAATGAATGCTCCTATTGAAGAAATAAGTTACTTTGGAAAGCCCATTCTAGTCAAGTACGGTTTACTGGATTGATAAAAAAAGGGATCTTGGAACATAAGTCAAAGTCAATTAAGGTTTTTTGTGTCATAAATGACTTCTTTTATATTGTACACAGACTGGTCATTTAAGGATCAGCTGCACTGGGAATCAAGTTACTGATTATTTGCTCTGATATTCAGGTCTATGATCTTGTTCAGAAGCAGCTAAACACCCCTCATTTCTCAAAGGTGGATCAGAGACAGATATCAAATTCATACTAAAGGAGGAGAGGCTGGAGGCTGAAATGTTTTTCTTGCTCTTTTTTTTGGTTCAGACATTCTTACATCTCAATAAATTAATAAGCTTTAAATAATTCTTAATGCCCTCTCAGATCAGTATTTCTCAAAACTAAAGTTATCCTTCCTGACTTTTCTAGGTACAGCAGCAGTCTGCTATTTTGGAAAGAGCAGCTTTGAATATTCACAGCAATATGTCATAATCCCTATGGGCTGTGCTGCCTCACCCTTGTGTCATCTGTGATCTATCACCAGTTTCCCAAGTTGCTCTGCAGCTATTACATATCAAGAAGTTAATTTCTTTAGTCTAAAACAAGATATGCTTCCAATGCACTGCTCTGAATAAACACCTACAACATGCAAAAGAGATCAACATTAATCCAGCTGTGACGGTCACCACAATTTATTCACCAGCTGGACTTCAAAATGTATATATTGTCCCATTTTCTTTACTCATCATTGTAGAAGTTTAATCTGAAGTGGAGCCCACAACTTCCAGGCATTTTTCCTACAAAAGTAAATAGTGTTTCCTCCATGCTCTTCCCTCTACATACAGAAATAATTTTATTCTTAAATTTTCACAAGACATAAAAAGTTTTTTTATAAGTTTCAAAACATGATGAGTAAAGAAATGGATGAAATGAGTAAAGAATGGATGAAATCACTTCTGTGCATATTAATACATGCTTGGTTTGGATACTAAATGTGAAG